GTAGAACTGAAGATAGTACAGGATACTTACCTAAAAGGGTGGGTAAAAAGAAATCCAGGGTGGGAAAATATTCGCCTCCTGTCTTTAATAAAATTTAGATTATTCGGTCACTAGGAGTTAGAATAATCCCGAATTTTATGGCAAGACAGGAGGCTTCATATTTGCTATTTTAACGCACAGATAGCAAAGACAGAGAAACGTGTGGAGAGTGTCTGAAATAAAAGGTACGGAAGGTGGATTCTCTAGACCAATCAGCGGAGGCTAGAATTTCCGCTAAGGAACCTCCGGCTATGAGTGCTGAGGAGGCGGCTGCGCCTCTAACCGAGTGAGCCCCGAAAGAAGCATCAATGCCAGCCAGGGCTAGAAGCCATTTAATCCAACGTGCAATGGTAGGGCACGAGACTGGTTTGTGAGGTCGTACATGAGACACCAGGAGGGGCCCAGTAGGTGGTCTGAGAGGGGTAGTGCGGGCAATATAGTGTTGTATACACCGGGCTACGCAGAGGAGAGGTTTCTCCGAAAAGTAAGGGTAGCTCACAGTAGACGAGTTGGTCTTGGTGCGTCTAGTGATATTGAAGTGTACCCCCTCCGGTGTGAAATCGAGGGCATGAAAGTCGAAAGCCCTGATGTCGGAAACTCTTCGGAAGGAGACCAAGCAAAGGAGGAGAGCTAGTTTGGCTGATAATTGGCGTAGGGAGAGTGCCTCGTTGTCCGGCCAAGCTTCCAAGAACGTGAGCATGATGGCCACGTCCCAGAATTGATTATATTTGGGGTTCGGGGGTCTAGCGATGCGTATGCCCCGCAAAAGTCTACAGATGGAAGGATGTTTGCCTACTGAAGAACTTTCGATAGGAACGTGTGCTGCAGAAATAGCAGACCGAAACACGTTAATGGTCCGGTAGGATTTACCCTGGTCGAACAGAGACAAAAGGAAATTGATAATATTAATTATAGATGTTGAAAAGGGATCAAGGTCCCTTTCCAGGCACCAGCAACTCCATAGGCGCCATGCAGAGATGTAAGACCGTCTAGTTCCCGGGGCCCATGAGTCCCAAAGGAGTCCCTGAGCAGTTGTCGAAAGGCCTGAGACATTCCAAGATCCCCTGAAACGGTCCAAGCCACTAGTTGGAGATGATCCTGAATTGCTAATGGGTGAAAGTTGCCTGTCGGGTCTCTGAGGAGGTCGCAGGTGCTGGGTAGCAGCAGGGGAAAATCCACTGACATTTCCAGGAGGTAAGGATACCATGGTTGGGCCCGCCATAACGGGGTCACTAGTGTTATCCTGGCACCCTGAGTTCTGAGGTGCTGTAGTGTGCGTGGAATCATGGAGAAAGGAGGGAATGCATATGCCCCGGACATCGGCCACGTCTGTAGGAAGGCATTGACTGCAAGGCACGCTGGGTCTGGCAACCAGCTGTAAAAAGCGTCCGTCTGCCTGTTGAGGCGAGATGCAAAGAGGTCTAGGTTGAATGGTCCCCGGCAGGCCTGGAGACGGTGAAATATTTGTGGATTCATTTGCCAATCGCTGGAGTCCCTCCAGTGTCGGGAGAACCAATCTGCGACGAGGTTGTCTGATCCCGGTAGATATTCCGCTCGCAGGGAGATATTCCTGTCTAGGCAGAACTGATATAATTCTTTGGTCAGATCTGAGAGCATCTTCGATTTGGAACCTCCTAGATGGTTCACGTAACGAACCGCGGACACGTTGTCCATCTTCAGCACCACGGAGCAGTTGTAGACATCCTTGGTGAAACTGCGGATTGCGAATGAGCCTGCAATCAGTTCGAGGCAATTGATATGAAGTGCTCGTTCCGAGTGGGACCAGAGTCCTCCTGTAGAGCTCTCCGAGCAAGTTGCGCCCCATCCGAGCAGACTTGCATCCGATTCCAGGACGAAGTCTGGTTGGGATCCGAAAATGGCTCTGCCATTCCAAGCGTCCATATGTTGTAGCCACCAATGGAGTTCGAGCCGGACTTCGTCCGTGAGTGTGATCTGTTGGTCGTAGGACGTCGACTGATGTAAGTATTGGGTCTTCAGGCGTTGTAGTGCTCGGTAGTGCAGTGGGGCAGGGAATATAGCCTGTATTGAGGCGGAGAGCAAGCCGATGGTGCGGGCCAGGTCCCTCAGACGGAGGTGTGGTGATATCAGTAACCTCCGAATGTCTCTTTTTATGGATTTGACTTTGGATGCCGGAAGTTGAAGGACTGCTTGAACAGAGTCTATCTGGAATCCCAGGAATTGTATCGTCTGGGACGGTGTTAGGGAAGATTTCTGGTGATTGATCATGAAGCCAAGATTCTGCAATAGGGCGGAGGTCATGCTTGTGTGAAGGTGGAGAGTTTCCTGGTCTTGTGCCATGAGGAGGATATCGTCCAGATAGATTATGGAGCGGATTCCTTGGGAGCGCAGTAATGCCATCACTGGTTTCATTAGTTTGGTAAAGCACCAGGGTGCAGAAGATAGGCCGAAGGGGAGGCAGGTGAACTGCCATAGTGCTTGTTCCCAACGAAACTGAAGGAGGCAGCGGTGTGCTGGTGTTACCAGCACCGTGAGGTATGCATCCTTTAGATCGAAGCGGGAGAACCAATCTCCCTCGGAGAGTAGGTCTCTCAATAAATGGATCCCCTCCATTTTGAAGTGACGGTATGTGATGAACCTGTTCAGATCTCTCAGGTTGATGACAGGTCGTAGACCTCCTGATTTTTTCTTGACTAGAAACATGTTGCTTATGAAGGTCTGTGGACCAACAACTCTTTCGATCGCACCCTTGGTGAATAGATTGTCGAGTTCGCTCCGGAGAGTCGACTCGTCTAATAGTGACATTTTGATTGGGGTAGGAGGAGAATTTTGTATCGGTACTACTGAAAATTCCAGGTGGAACCCGGACACCGTCTGAAGGATCCAAGGATCCTGAGTGAGTTGAGACCACTGTTGGGAAAAAAGGGTTAACCGGCCTGCAATAGGAATATGAGAATAAGGAAGGTCCATTACCTGTAGCAGTGCGACCGCAAAGGGAAGCGGATCCACGTCCTCGGATAGCTCCGCGAGAGGGGAAGAATTGCCTGTGGTGGAATCAGGTATTGCCCGAGTTCCAGGTGTCTGAAGGTCGAGGCCTGTAGCCCGTGAAGGCGGCTCTGCCAGTCGCTCGGCCTCTATAGCGACCAGCTCTTCCGGAAAAACGCTGAGTGCGAAATACCTTGCGAATGGAGGATTGTGCCTTTGTCAGCGTGGTAAAAACAGAGACATGCTTACTTAGTTCTTTTATGAACTTGTCTCCGAATAACATGCCTTGAGCCTCTGGACCAAGTTCTTTAGTGCCCAATTCGGCAAGCTTGGCATTGATTTTATAAAGGACGGCCTTCCGCCGTTCAGTTGATATTGCCACATTGGCATTGCCTAAAAGGCATAAGGCCCTTTGAGCCCACTCTCGCACCATATGTGCATCAAATGTGCCACCTGATAGAGCCTTGTCTGCAATAATGAAGATTTGTATGAGCGGGCCCGCCACATCCATCAATTTGTCTTGAGTGGCTTTCAGACCCTGTTCTAGGCCCTTACGGGGGTCTTTCCCTGACTTGGTTAGAAAGGTCACAAGGAAAGGGTCAAATTCGGGTGTATTGGCCACCTTGTCTGGGATAGTGGGGCGTGGGCATTCTGCCCTTAATCTGGCTCTCACCTCTTTTTCTAAAGGCCGACGGAGCCACATTCTACAGTATTTGGCAATGTGGTCCGGGGGCGTCCATTCGGCCGATCTAGGGTGCCTGATGCATCTGGAGTCAAATAAAGGGTGGCCAGAGGTGTCAAATAAGGTATCATCTTTTAAGTTAGGGTTTTCAGAGGTGAGATCAGACTCCAATTGGAATTCCTCTAGAGGTATGAGGGGGGGTTCATTAGTTGCAGAATCGGAAGGGTAAAGGTCTCGGAATGTCTTATGAGGCGGAGCCTCAGTATCCGAGTGTTCTGCATAGTATTCGTCTAATACTTGGAGATTATAATTAGAGGTTGAACCCTCGAATGCGTCAAAATCATGTTGGGAGATGGTTTGCTTGGGTTTAGAATAGGGCACTTTAGGATGTTTAGCAGGCGCTTTGCCTTTACCGGCGGTGGCGCTATCGCCCTTCCAAGGGCGTTTGCGAGGGGCTTCCTCATGCTCTGAAGCGTGAGAATCCTCGGAGTCTGAGAGTTGGGTAATGGTCGCCGTAGGGGCTGGGATTGTTTGCTCGCGGAAAGCCGCAAGAGCTTTGGGTATAGATTCAGTAATGGCATTGAATAGCCAAGCCTTAAGTTCGGCAGAAACTGCTGGTTCTGGCACATCCGACATAATGCCAGTAACAGTGGGGTCACCACAAAAGAAATTATTATATTTACAATATATATAAAAAAAAAAAAAAAAATAAAAAAATTTTTTTTTTTTATGTGCAGACAAACTAATTACAATGAGGCGGTGGACTTAGACTGCATGTAAAAAGCAGGAGAGCAATTATCCTGTAACAATTCATCTTACAGAATTTATCAGTGGGGTTCACCCAGAGAGAGAAAGGACAGTATAGTGTCCAAGATCTAAACAGGTATGTGCCTGTGTTATCATATAGGGGTTACCCTGTATAGAGGCAGCAAAGGGGTCACCCTTGAAGGAAGGCTAGAGGGGGTCACCCTCAGAGTAAAGGCTGGAGGGGGTCACCCTCAGAGTAAAGGCTGGAGGGGTTCACCCTCAGAGTTAAGCAAGGATTTGTAATAAAGTTGAAATCTGCAAGAAAAATATGAAAGTTTGTAATATGGGTATGTGTCTTTAAGTTTTAAAACTAAAATGTCTGGGGCTTTAAGAGGTAAAATATGTACTTACCAAAACGGCTGGGTCGCGTCCTGCAGTGAGAGCCGAGGTGCGAGGGAACCGCCGCGCATAAGCTTGCCACAAGATGGCGCTGAGAGGGAAGCCCGAGAGAAAACTAATAGAAATGGCCGCGGCAAGAAAAAAGGCGGGAAACGTCTCTATGGAGACGCCAGGGCAACACACATAGTGTGTGAGGAAAATTGAGCGGCTGAGCGGACCGGCAAGATGCCGGGCGCCGCGGGGAAAGTGGAAGTTAAACGGACAGTACCACAAAAACAAAAGTATTGAAGAAAAGTGTTGTAATATGAATTGTTGGGCTGACTGGAGTGTCAGCCCATGAAATAAGAAAAATAGAAGTAGAAGCAGAAACAGATAAAGGAAAATTGTATGGGAAATGAAAAATTATCAAAATAATACACAATATATATATATATCAGTTAGTTAAAAATAGAGCATTAAAAGGAGTATAATTAGAATAGACTCACCTGGGAGGCTAAGCAGCAAAGAAAGAGGAATTGGGAGGAGCCTGATGACAGTTTATACTACTGTAATGCTTACTGATTGGTTAAACTTTTTTACACTGCTGTTAACTGTTTCTTTGCTGCTGGGAGTTACAGTAAAGAAAGATAAGCAAATATGAAGCCTCCTGTCTTGCCATAAAATTGTCACATTTGTTTCAGATTTAAATCCCACGTTCCTGTAGGTTAGGTTTGCCATGACCTATACTGTTTCTGGCCAAAGTGGAGGCTAGGGTCTGAATAAATAAATTATCTGTTGTGTTGATAATGTCTCTGGTAACATTTCTAGCTTCTTAGGAGTTGTGTCACCTTCCCATCACTATTGAGTAAGGATACTGAAAAGTGCTTCCTGAAAGGTCCTGCAAGAAGTGTTTCTATGCACTAAAATCGCACCTAGGCAGCTAATATCTACCTATGTAAAGAGGTTTCATTAGTTTCACTAATACATGTTGTACTTGTTTCATAAATATATTTAGCATACTATTGACGCAAATGTGCCTTATTTAAAGGGCCTTTCTTACCTTGCTGGTTCATTTCTCCATCTGCTATGACATGTATATTGTACATCCTTTGGTTGCCATCTAAATTATGCACATACCTCTGCTTCCTGTTTTACAGGCACTCTTTAGGACAGTGGCCATGATGGTACCTGATTACGCAATGATAGCAGAAATTGTTTTATATTCCTGTGGCTTTGTCACGGCCCGACCATTGTCGGTGAAAATTGTAGCAACTTATCGTCTCTGTTCAGAGCAACTATCGTCCCAGCATCATTATGATTATGGAATGAGAGCTGTAAAGTCAGTGCTGACTGCTGCAGGCAACCTTAAGGTAAGGATACTATACATATACTCAATAAAAGGAGGTTTGCACCAATAAAGTTAAAAAAAACAAACAAAAAAACTAGACTCTAACTAGAATTAATACTTTTGTTTTTGAGCAAGTAATAACATACTAATCAAATGCAAGTTGTTAATATATTTAAGAATTGCGCTAATATATATGTTCACAGTTCAGAACAATTTTTTCATGTAATGCTGACCAAACATTAAAAAAAAATGCACGATAACATGTTATTTTAAGAAACTATTCTGTGCAGATGGTACAGTGCACATTTTATTCACTATTAAAGGACCAATATAGTGCCAGGAAAACAAGTCTATAGGGTCTTTAGGTGTCCCCCACCCTCAGGGTCCCACTCTCGCTGGGCTGAAGGGGTTAAACACTTACATTTCTCCAGCGCCGGGCTCCCTTGCCTCCGGGGAACTCTCCTCCCTCTGCCGACGTCAATGCGGAATGCGCATGTGCGGCAAGAGCTGCGTGCGCATTCAAACAGTCCGTAGGAAAGCATTTCTCAATGCTTTCCTATGGACGTCCAGCATCTTCTCACTGTGATTTTCACAGTGAGACGCGCGGAAGCGCCTCTAGCAGCTGTCAGTGAGACAGCCACTAGAGGCTGAAACTGCTATGTTTACAGCTGCAGGGTTAACACTAGATCGTCCTGGCACCCAGACCACTTCATTGAGCTGAAGTGGTCTGGGTGCCTATAGTGGTTCTTTATCAATCACAATATATAAATTATTTAACAATATAGATTTTTGATAGCCAAACAGCAAATAAGGAAATATTATATGTAACAGTCATTATTTAGTCTTTTATTTTTGAGATATTTTCATTTTCGAGTGGTTAGTACTGTATTTGATGTAAACATATTAAGTAGCTTCAATAAGGAATAGGGATAAATGGAGAGTCATGCTAAACGATATGTATACTTATTTTTGAGAGTTTTATCTTGCATAAAAATTGACAACTAACCTTGGCATAGTGGATGTTTCTGACCTATATTTTCAATGATATTTCTTAGTTACTCATGAGTAAGTTTAAAATATGAATTTTATGTACACTAAAAATATTGACTTATTTCTATAGTTTTCTTAGACATCTAGTGATAATCAAAGCCTTTACATCTTTTAAATGTACATTTTTTAAAATGATGCTGTAGACTAGAGTTGACCTCTATTTTTATTGCATTATATTGAAAAAATTTAAAAATGCTCCACATCCTCAGGATTGGATAGTGCATATTTTACTCTGATGTCATTGGTATTCAGTTTATGTGATGGAATGACACACTTATGTATTGTTTTACAGCTCAAATATCCAACTGAAAATGAAGAAATTTTACTTCTCCGTTCTATAATTGATGTAAATCTTCCCAAATTTTTGGCTCACGATTTGCCACTCTTTGAGGTAAGATTCTCTTTTATTGATGTTCTCTGCCAGAAAGGAACAGGAACACAGCTGTTCAACAATTTTTATCCAGGTGATTAAACATTCTTATACATAGTAGTGCATGGGATTTGTAAATGCAACGTAGAAACTACAGTTAGGTACTTTTTTAGAATTCCTCTGAATACTAACTAGGGCATAGGCTCTCATGTAACAATGGTGAGCCACAACTGGTTGAAGATATTTATACTTGATTAGTTGCTCAGCCTCTCAGGAGTATCTCCAGCCATCAAAGTCAATTGGATTAAGGAAACTGCAGAGCTTATCAATACACTTAGAGATGATTACTTTCAGTCCGAACTGCAATTCTGCAAAATTCAGCCAATCTAGTGATCAGTCGAAATTTTGATTTCTGACCAGCCACCCACCAGAATCTTGGGAACCAACTCATGCAATCCTAAACATGCTCGTTATGGTTCTTGATTTGGAGTACCCTTGCTTGCTGGCCCTGGTTAAAAGGGGGAATGGAAAACCTTTTGCAACACAAACACCTATTTTTACTTAATAAAGTTGTGTTAGTTTACACAATACACAATCATTGATATCCCATATTTATTACAAGAAAAACAAACTTACCATCATATTGTGTACCAATCCCAAAATTAAATTGAGGAAAGTAGGGGAATGGTCATTTCCACAATCGACCATCAGCAGTAGTACCATGGCTTCTGAGAGTTTCAACACCTCAGCCATGAGTACTGCTGACATCTCAACCACCAGTGCCTCCAGCACCACTATTAGTAGTATTCAGCCTTGGGATAGTGGGATTAGCAGCATGTCCGTTGAAAACCAAAATGTTGGGGTACTGTATTGACCCAATGAAGCAATGTTTGGGGTCAATTTAAGTACCTCCAAGAATGCTGACTTTCAAAGTGCAAATTGTGCAACACGGACAAGCAACAATATCTGATTCTGTGCAGTTGTCACAAATATACAACCAGCACCCTTATGGCGAACAGGGAGGATGGCAAGGGTAATGCCAGTAGATGTCAGAAGCAGGTTAGACAGGAACAATCGGACCCCTCATGAATAAAAAAAAAGGTTATCTTGTCTAGCTGCTACTGTCAGTGCCGATTACATCCACTTCACTGGTTTAGAATTGCTTTATTGATTTGTGATTTTATTTTAATTTTATTTCTTGTAAGAGACTGAATATTTGATGTGCTTACGTGCCACTGCTTGTATTTTGTAAATTGTGAGCTTCTTTTCTCAGTAATATACACAATGTGAGGCAGTTTACTGCTCAAGTAAACCCTGTCCGCAGTGAATGTGACAGTTTTTTTTTTTTTTTGTAGAAAAACTATTCTAAAATATGGTTGTGGTGTTGTAATTTTTTAAAACATTTCTAATTGTAGTAGAGTCACCTTGCCTGGCTGAGGCAGTGTGGATATGCCTGCTACTTCTACAGATGCAGTTTTTTCATACTGTGAGTTTTTTTTTAAATATTTCTAATTAGGGACATATTATTTTAAGGAACACTATAGCGTCAGGAATACAAACATGTATTTCTGACCCTATAGTGTTAAAACCATCATCTAGCTCCCCTTATCCCCCTTGCCTCCCTAAATATAGTAACATCTTACTTGTATTCAAGTCTACAGCTGCTGCCTCTGCCCCTGATCTGTCTGTTGTCAGCTTACATCATCAGAAGTGTTGTTCTGAGCCATTTACAATGAATTGGCT